TCTTGTGTATCCTGACACACATGATTTCCTAATCACACAAGTGAGAAAATAGGAAAGGAACTGCCGGAAGCCACATAGATAGAAGGTGTGACACCTGGGTCTGAAACCCAGCCAGAGGATTGGCTCCACATCCGAGTTCTTTTTGAGATGCTCCATTGCCCCAGGGGTTATTACTCCAGCCAGGGAAACTGAGGTAGGAGAATGGGCTACACTCAGGCAGAGGGACTGGAGGCTGTGAAAGCAGGAAGCTCTGCCAGCTCTTGACCCCATCAACCTCTATCTGGACAAGTTATTGGGAATGAAGTTAACATCTTCAGGCTGTTCTTGTCTAAATGTTCCTGTCCAAGATCTTCATAGTGCTCATCTTAATGAACATTATGAAGCCTAAGTCCTTGAAGGATAGGAACACCCATACCCTTTTCTCTTCCTCAGTGTCTGAAATATTTGGTGTGTGTTTATTTCTCCTGACCTGAGTTTATCACTCTGCATTTTGAGAATTCTGATAGCACTTCAATTTTGGCCTTGCTTTGATGAAAGGGAAATTATCTTGATGAATTTGTTGACACAATGCATCTCATCCTAATCATAGTTACAATAAGTAATATTTATTGATATTTATTAATATTAATATGTATCCGCACTGTGCTAAGCACTTCACATGTATTAATCCATCAAATTCTTATCCTTGTTTTATAATGCAGGACATAGGCACTGGAGAGGCTACCCTGCTCAAAGTCATCTTGGTAGCAAGTGACAGAACCAGAGCTAAACCTTTTTTTTTTTTTTTTTTTTTTTTTGAGACGGAGTCTTGCTCTGTTGCCCAGGCTGGAGCCAGTGACACAATGATCTCGGCTCACTTTAACCTCCACCTCCCATGGGGGTTCAAGCGATTCTCCTGCCTCAGCCATCAGAGTAGCTGGAGCCAGAGACATGCCACCATGCCTGGCTAATTCTGTATCTTTAGAAGAGGCAGGATTTAATCATGTTGGCCAGGCTGATCTTGAATTCCTGACCTCAAGTGATCCGCCCACCTTGGGCTGCCAAAGTGCTGGGATTACAGGTCTGAGCCACCGCACTGGGCCTAGGACTAAACCTCTTTATCCCTTGTTGCTTACTTCTGTGTGATGACTACATCCTCTGCAGCCAGCTTTCATCTGCTTCAGCAGGTTGATAAAACAGGCCCAGCATCCCCTTACAGGGAAGAAAGTTCTGGGTTGCTTAGGGGCCCCAGAAGGTACATAGCCCTTGGTGCTTTGTGGGAAAGCCTGCAGAGAAGAAAGGTGCTATAAGGAATTCCCCACTCAACTTCATCAAGTCTAGTCCTACTGGGGGATCATGTAGACAAGCAGTATTGCAGTGAGCCATCCAGTTAATCCTGAATGCACACACAAATACACACATGCACACAAAATACACACATGCACAAAAATACACAGTCTCCCTTTCCTCTCTCTATTGGGTTGCTTCAAGCCCAGTTCCACCAGATGAACATAGTGCAAGTCATGTGTGTTTTTGCTCTGGGTCCTTCACTACTCTATATTTTGTTCACTGTGCTGCATTTTGCTGATCTCTTTTTATTTCTCTAAACCACGTACTGCTCACAGTCCATTTGACAGCTGTCTCGAAAGCTCATTCACTTAAAAGCTTTGCTCCTGACTTGCTTGCACAGGGAGCCTGTGATCTGGTTTTGGTGCTCATTCATAAATGATGCCACGGTCTCCCCTCCAACCTCAGGCAAGTCACAGGAAGCTAGTTAAACCCTGTATCATAGACTACCATATTGACATCCTCTCAATTATCCAACCCTGTTGGTGCCATTTGAACTTCTCCCAGCACCTGCCAGTTCTAAAAACACAGCAGGCCTGCTCTATTGGAAGCATCCCATCAATTTACTAATTAGCTCTTTTCCTGGGAAACCTATTGTTGAGTCTGAAATCAGATTCAAAATCAATATGTAAGCATTCAAAGTTCATAGTTACATGGACAATTTAAGGTGGTACAGGCTTCCAAATCAAATTTACCTCCTAAGAGCTAATAGTCTAAACCTCATAGATACAGACTTCTAGAGCAAGAGGGGCTGCAGTTCTGAAGGGGAAGTGGCTTGACAAAGCTCCCAGAGGCAGAGCTGGGACTAGTTTGGGTCCAATACCTGTAGTACTTCTGCCCTCTGTGTAGCCACTGTCCCAGCCCAGCTGCACCCCATGTTCCATTCAATATACATTCTAGGGTCATAGAAGAATAGCAGACTATTGGCTTATATGCAAGGTCAAATGGTTGAGATGTCAAAAATAATGGAAACTGAAGTCCGCAGAATCCAGACAACTGAATTTCCCAAATGCTGTAAGTTGACAATGCCTAAAAAGCACCCAGAAATCAAATGGGGGGTCTGGAGGGCTTCTCCTCCTTACCAGGACAGGCTGTGTGACTTCTTTCTGAAACTCATCTTTGCATAACCAAATGGCAGTGCTCATTGATTTCTTGAAAAGAAACATCTGTGACTTCCTTTTAAATGGCAAGAAAAGTATTCTCCTTGAGTCACAGAAAAGATTCAAATTACCTGGAAATACTTTTTTTTTTAATCTCCAAGGTTGGAGATCCCAGAATTCAAATTAAGGCTATATTGTGGGATCTCCCAACTTCTATAGTATCGAAATTCTTAATCATTTTGACCCAAAGAATGTATACTTTCAGTAGGATTTGCCCTACTTGTTCTGCTCTCAGCAAAACCAGAGTAGATGCTTACTTTAATTCACTAATTTGCTGACAGTTTTTGCATAAATAAATAGCAGAACAGTAGATAATCCACAAGTAATTTCCACTTAGCAATGAGTATGTAAAAAGCTTTTCTTGTGCAAAATTTCCCTGCCAATTTGTGTTTTCTTCAAGGAAAAGCTGACCTTGTTGGGTTCTCAGGGGTTTTCAACTGCCTGTAGGGGAGTAGTCCTAATGCATTTGGGGCAACTGGAGAAGCCGGGCCAGGAGAGATGACTAATATGCCAACACCCTCCCGGCAGTGACCATGACTTTGCTTCTCATATAGTACCTTGTGTGCATCAATAACTATTTTTCATTTAATGAAATAAAATCTGTTGCCTCTACACTTTTGCTAATTCAGTGAGGATCTTCGCTTGTCAAAGTGAGGTCTGTAGTGAATAACTCGACCGTGGTTTAACTGAAAAGATTTTTGTAATCATGGTCAGAAGAAAACGGTACTTTTATCAGGACTTACCACATCAGGCTGGGGGTATTGCACAATTTGAGACACAAATGTGACTGAGAGTGTGACCCTGATAATTATTTACAACACTGCTCCTTTTTTTTCCCGAACCTGTACTTTTTCTGTTGGTTTAACTAGTTGTAAGCAGGATAAATTTTTCCTGCTGATGTACCACTTGCTGAATTTGTGTCCCGTGTATATGAACCCACAGTTTCTGAATGTGGTTATAGGAATATTTACATAATGTTTAAGAGCATGGAATAGTTTCAGAGATGGGATGATGAAGCAGGCTGAATTCCTTATTCAGGAAATCAGACTGGGAAATAAAGTAAGACAGTATTTGATTTGCTGGTATTAGTTTGTCCCATCTACTCTTTATATTACCTAAGAGAGAATACAGTAAAAAAACAAAGTCTAACAGGGCATTCAGTTCCAATCCAGAGGACTGAATATTAATCATAGAACCACCGAATATCTGTAGGATTTAGGAAAATAAAAGTTTTGCCACTTTGAGGTTCTGTTTTCCATCATTTAACAAAATGTGGTTAATGCCTTTTTGTAAAACAATAGACATAAGTATATTTCAAAATAAAACTTGAAAAAAAATACTATAGCCACAGGACTGGGCACAATTGGTCACGCTTGTAATCCCAGCACTTTGGGAAGCCCAAGTGGGAGGATTGCCTGAGTCTAGGAGTTTGAGGCCAGCATGGGCAACATACTGAGGCCCTGTCTCTACGAAAGATCAAAAAAACTAGCCAAGCATGGTAATGCGTGCCTGTGGTCCCAGCTACTTGGGTGGCTGAGATGAGAGGATTGCTTGAACCCAGGAGTTAGAATCTGCAGGGAGCTATGATCATACCACTGCACTCCAGTCTGGGTGGCAGAGCAAGACCCTATCTCATATAAATAAATAGTATAGTCATAGGTTTTTAACAAAGTGCTTCAGTCCCACCTACAGTTTGGGGAATGTCAGGAGGAACACTAGTTTTGCGAAGTAGCCACCTTTAATTAGAGACGCAGCCTGCATGCTTAGTCTTATCAGACAGCAGGGATACAAAAAATAGAACAGGGCTTCCCAGAATGATGCACAGAGAGCTATGAAGATGATGCTCAGGAGAGTTCTCAATGACAAAGCAAAGCTTAGAATAAGTGAAGGGAAGCTCCTGTGTATTCAGTGTGCCCTCAGTTTTGCAGAGGGAGGGAGAGGAATGGGATTCCTACACCAAGGTTAAGAGCAAGGACTGGTTGGGCTCCCTCACTTCCCAGCTGTGTGGCCTGGGCTGACTTATTCTGTCCTTTTCTGTACAGTAAGAATAATAGTGTCCTTTTTCAGTTCCTCCATCTGTACAGTAAGAATAATAGTGTCCATCTCAAAGCATCATTGTGAGAATTAAATTGAGAATGTACGTGAAGCACTTTACATAGTATCTGGGCACCTAGAAGCACCCAGAAAAAGTGAAAAATATGTATAGAAAATAAGCTCCTACTTACTTCCAATGACTCCTGATTTTTCTTTTTTCTTTTTTATACTTTATTACAACTTTTAAACTTCCTGCAGCAAAACAGGTACTTCTTTTCTTTTCTTTTTTTGAGACGGAGTCTCGCTCTGTTGCCCAGGCTGGGGTGCAGTGGCACAATCTTGGCTCACTGCAGCCTCTGGCTCCCCGGTTCAAGTGATTCTTCTGCCTCAACCTCCCTAGTAGCTGGGATTACAGGTGTGTGCCACCGCCCCTGGCTAATTTTTATATTTTTAGTAAAGACAGGCTTTCATCATGTTGGCCAGGATGGTCTCAAACTCCTGACCTCAAGTAATCTGCCCGTTGGCCTCTCAAAGTGCTGGGATTACAGGCATGAGCCACCACACCCCACCCACAAAGGTACCACTTTTCTAAAACCAGTTTTGTTAAAGATAGGTGTACATGAAGTGACCTTACCCTGGACTGAGTGAGTGGTGCTAGAAAAGGTACCAGCTGGGGAAGGATCTGAAGGATTATATATTTCAACCACCTTGTTTTTAGATGAGGAAACCAAGGCCCAGAATGACCACCTTCACAGCAAGCTGAGACTAGCACCTAGGTTTCCCAACTAGGAAGGGATGAAAGCACTGGGCAAAGCATGCCTGTCCAGTACTAACCACTGGGTATGCAGTAACAATGTGAACTGAGGGAATGAGGAGAAGGGATGAGGGCTGTAAAGGATGGAAAGAGTCAAAGTGACTTCAAGGCTTCAGGTTTGGGGGCTCAGAAGAATGGAAACTGAAATGGGGCAGTGAGTGAGAGAAGGAGTTTTGATATGAAGGAGACCATGCATTTGTTTGGTTGTGAATGTTGTCAGCCTTGAGAAACATCCGAGCAGGTTTCCGGTTTCACCTGTGGACAGTTTAAGACATAGGCCTGGAGCTGAGTGTCAGGCAGGACCAGGGATAAAAACCTGGGAGAAAATTTCATGAAATTAAAAGATAAGGCTGTATAAACAAACTTTTCAAAGTTCAAAGAACAGACCACAGTGGAAAATACCAAAGGGTCAAAGGATGAGTGGAGAGGGCCAGTAGAAATGAAAAAGGGGAGAAGTGCCACTGAAGAAGAGGAAGATTTGGGCAATAAAGCTGAGGACTCAATTTGAGGGTCGGCTCAACTATCCACAGTCTGAAATTCAGGAAGGAGGTCAGTAAAAATAAAGCTGGAAAAAGAAACCCAGAATATTTTGAATTCGACGAGGAGGAAGTCACCATGATTAAAAAAGCAGTGTTAGAGAGGAAATGAAGCATCTGAATCCCTTAAAGAATTTTTTAAATTTTGAGACAGAGTCTCACTCTTGTTGCCCAGGCTGGAGTGCAGTGGCAAGATCTAGGCTCATTGCAACCTCTCTCTCCCAGGTTCAAGCAATTCTCCTGCCTCAGCCTCCCAGATAGCTGGGACTACAAGCATGAGCCAGCACGCCAGGCTAATTTTTGTATTTTTAGTAGAGAAAGGATTTTGCCATGTGGGCCAGGATGGTCTTGAACTTCCAACCTCAGGTGATCCACCTGTCTCAGCCTCCCAAAGTGCTGGGATTACAGGCGTGAGCCACCACACCCAGCCCTTATTCAAGAATTTAGACTGGGAAATAAAGTAAGAAGGTATGTAATGACAGTGGAGAGAGATAGCAGAGCAGGCTCATGGCTTATTCAAGATGAAGGATTCTATGACTATTTGAAAGCAAAAAGGGGGAGGTGAAGAAGGAGATTAAAACTTTCAGGAGGTAGAAGATAAAGCTTGGGTAGGGGACCTCAAAAGTCAAAAAAGCAAGAGAACAAGGCAAGGCTGGAATCACTAGCATTATATCCCAAGGCATCTCTCCCTCTTGTTACTTGAATGATTTGGGTTTTAAGCATTTTAAAGATTTTTGAAGTCTTAGCCTATTAACAAGGACTTGAAAATTCCACTTATGTATTTCTCATTTTCTAGAGGAAGCAACTCATAGTAAACTGGGGATGGTAATCTTTTCTCCTGGTGCGGTGTGGTTGAAACCTCACCACAGTACTTAGCACAGTGGTCATTAAATCACTGTTAGTGTTGCTATTTGCCGAGTGTGATTCTTTCTAATGGACTCCATGACAGGAGCACCCATGTATGATCTTTTGACAACTGAATCCCAGTAATTTGTACAGTGCCAAAATATAATGGGTGCCCAATAAATATCTGTTAAATGGAAGAATAAAGGAATCAGTAAATAAGCAGTCTCTCCCACAGAAAGGAAACTCGTATTCAGGGAGATCATGCAGGATTTACATTATTCAGTCAAGCAGGTTAGCAAGTGCATAACCTCTCTAAACACTATTTGGTAAATGGCCTTGAGTTTTTCTTTTTTTGGTGAGGGGCAGGGGACAGAGTCTTGTTCTGTCCTCAGACTGGAGTACAGTGGTACAATCTTGGCTCACTGCAACCTCCGCTATCAGGGTTCAAGCAATTTTTTGCCTCAGCCTCCCACTTAGCTGGGATTACAGCTGTCTGCCCCCACAATTGGCTAATTTTTGTATTTTTAGTAGATACTGTGTTTCACCATGTTGGCCAGCCTGGTCTCAAACTCCTGGCCTTGAGTGATCCACTCCCCGTGGCCTCCCAAAGTGCTGAGATTTACAGACATGAGCCACTGTACCTAGTTGGAGTTTGTCTTGGATGCATTTCTTGTACTTAAAAAAAAAAATTACATACCCCAAAGCTATCATAGAAGTTCCTAAAAGAATTTGTCTCTTGAATGTAGATTCAAAGCAAATTTAAACAGAATAATTGGCATGCAAAATATTGACTTTCTGCACTGACTTAATGGCAGTTTTCCTCTTTCCTATCTGTGAAATGGGAACAATGGTAAGAGGTACTTTAAAGATACTTAAGATTGAAAAGCACTTAGAGTCTGATGCCTTTATTGTTCACTACAAGTATTATCGCATACTTCCTCCAAAAGTTTAATTTCCAACTTTGTAAAATATTTTGATTGTGATTCAGTTGGGTTACTCAGTAGGCTTATGTTTTGTGGATATTCCATCTAAAAACCTTACTACGTACCAAAAACAGATACGCTCCAGGATCCAAGTGGCACAGTACATGGAATGAACTCCATAAATATTTGCTGAGAGACTGAATAAATCATTTTTTAAGAATAAAACTGGTCTCGGCCGGGCGCGGTGGCTCAAGCCTGTAATCCCAGCACTTTGGGAGGCCGAGGCGGATGGATCACGAGGTCAAGAGATCAAGACCATCCCGGTCAACATGGTGAAACCCCGTCTCTACTAAAAATACAAAAAATTAGCTGGGCATGGTGGTGCATGCCTGTAATCCCAGCTACTCAGGAGGCTGAGGCAGGAGAATTGCCTGAACCCAGGAGGTGGAGGTTGCGGTGAGCCGAGATCGCGCCATTGCACCCCAGCCTGGGGAAAATAAGTGAAAATCCTTCTCAAAAAAAAAAAAAAAAAAAAACTGGTCTCACAATAAAACTGGTCTCACTGCCATCATTTCATTTCATCCTATATCAGCTTTGTGAGGTTGTTATTACCTGTCTTTTACAGATAAGAAATCTTTGGCTCAGGGAAGTTAAGCTCCCTGCCCAGCACCTCCCAGCACGGGCAACTAAAACTCAAGCTGTCTGATGCCCCAAGCCTCATCATTTCTTTTACCTGCTACTGTTTCTAACTTGGACTTTGTTTTCTTTCTTTCTTTTTTGTTTTCCACCAGGAAATGATGAACAGAAGCCCTTGACAAAATGGTTTCTCTTTGTGCTTATGGCAACCATCTGCTTGATATTGTTAATTCTCTCGCTCATCTGTAGAATGTAGGTATTCTTTACATTTGGGAGCTTGCAATGGGGTCTGAGTACTGCATTTTTACACGCTTACTAAGTGTCCGGTAGGCAGAGGGTTCTTGTTACCAGGTGGAATTCATGGCATTTTTGAGCCTGGATGACCTGTTCAAGATGAGCTTAGGCCAAATCAAAAGTAGGAAACATCCAGAGGTGAATTACAGAAGCCAGACAGAGCACAACACAGCCCTTGGCTATCACTCACTCCTACTTGAAGCTGTGGACAGCTTGTTAATTTCTGTGAAAGATTCTACATGCGGGTTCTTTTGATTCCTTCTTAGCCTTCCACTCAGTCCTTGGCTGCCAGCATAGGCTTTTCACAGCTCAGAAAGGCTAAAATCACCACAATGCCTGCACATCATCATCCTCAACTATCATTTCACCAGGCCCCTAAGTGGCTGATGGTGCATAGGTCAAACACAGATTCTACAAATAGCATGTGGACCTGGTGTACTATCCTGGAGCCCACAAATGGCCCGTAAGTACCCCTTACACATTTTAGCTTTCAGTAAGGCAAAGGACATTTTAGGGGGCTTAAGAACATGTTTTGTCTTGGCCCTTTCATAATTTAGAAAATGACTTTTATATTAAACAGCTTTATTATTATAAATATTATCTTCAGATGGCATCTATAGGTTGGGGAAGGCAGCCCAAAGGAGATGAAAAGAAAGTAAATTTGGCTGAGCACACCTATAATCTCAGCACTTTGGGAGGCCAAGGCTGGAGGATCACTTGAGGTCAAGAGTTCGAGACCAGCCTGGGCAAATGGTGAAACCCTGGATCTACAAAAAAATACAAAAATTAGCCAAGTGCAGTGGCATGTGCCTGTACTCCCAGCTACTCTGTAGACTGAGGCAAAAATTGCTTGAGCCCACAAAGTGGAGGTTGCAATGAGCTGCAATGGCACCACTGCACTCCAGCCTGGGTGACAGAGCAAGACACGGTCTCAATAACAACAACAACAAAGTAAACTCTGTGAGCAAGCACACTTGAGGAAGGAATGCTTCAACCAGCATTGTAGGAAACGACACAGCATGACACATTTGAAGTATACAGTTCATTTTCAGAGATTACGCCTGGTAACACCCACTGACACAAAGCAGTTTCCATTTGTTCTTCCCTGGATGACTCAGAAGCCACAGCAGAGCCTTGCGGTACCCCCCAAAGTCTTCTCCTATTATTTTGGAAGTCTTGGTCAATAAAGATTTTGAATTTACAAAACAGCAGATTCTAGAATTAACCAGGTCAATGTTTAGAGTAGACATTTAGAGACAAAAGGTATACTCATGCTCATCTAATTCCTTCTTTCGCCCTGTTTTCAGATGTCATTTATGGACCAAGTTGTTTCCACCAATTCCAGCACCAAAAAGTAATATCAAAGATTTCTTTGTAACCCCTAACTATGAGGTAATGTGGAAAGTTCTTATGATATGCCACATATGTCCAGGGTTGAGTCCCCTGGGAGCTGTCACTGGGTTTTTGGTTTTCTATATTATAGGGGAAGGTTTTTACCCAGAAGGCCAAGAGTATTTCTATTGCTTCAGTCATTCTGTTCTTTGGCTGATTTGGTTGTTTGTATTTTTTAAGAGATGGGGTCTTGCTATGTTGCCCAGGCTGGTCTCAACTAGGTCTAAGTGATCCTCCCACCTCAGCCTCCCAAGTAGCTGGAACTACAGAAGTATGCCACCATGCCTGCTTGGCTGATAGTTTTATTATGCATGTTCATTACTGTTTTGACATATTAGAAAAGTCCTAGTCTCTTATAAGTGTTCTTGCCAGTCAGACTTGAATTTTAATTTCATATCAGCCATTCTTTAACTGACTTTGGACAATCTCTTCAATCCTATGGGTGCTGAATTTCTTTCTGGTATAAGGGACACAGATGAGATTGTACAATGTTCTGCTTAGCTCTAATGTTTTAAGACTCCATGTTTCCACCTGAGTACCTTAGTTAATAGAGAATTTTCAGAGGGAATTGAGAGCTCTTTAGTATTAAAAATACTATAGAAAAGGCAAATTATTTTACCCAATATGTATTTTCTCAGGCCTATTCACCATTGAGAGCACTTAGGTTCAGCCCAATGGTCACTTATCTGTGGCTATCCAATTGTTCCAGCATCAGTAAGTCCTTTCCCCAGCGAATTGTCTTGGCGTTTCTGTTGGAATTAGTTGCCAAATATAGGTGGCTCTATTTCTGGACTACCTGTTTGGTTTTTGTGACCTTTTTGTGTATCTTTATGCCAATACAATACTGTCCTTATTACTGTAGCTCTATTGTAAACTGTGAGTCCAGTTTGTATAAGGCCTCCAAAAATGATTTTTAAAAAAATTATTTTGGTTATTCTATATCCTCTGCATTTTCATATAAATCTTAGATTTAGCTGATCATGTTCTATAAGAAAAGGTAGCTGAGATTTGGGGTGAGATTGTGTTGAGCCATAAGTTAACTTGGGGAGAAGTGATATCTTAATATTAATCCTTCTTATCTATAAATGTAGCATATCACTCCACTTCTTTAGGTTTTCTTTAACTTCTCTCAGCAATGGTTTGTGATTTTTCAGTGTATAATTACTGTGCTTTGCCAAATTTATCCTTAAGGTGAATGGTTATTTAGATCAGGGCTCAGCAAACTTTTTCTATAAAGAGCCAGATAGTGCATATTTGAGGGACAAATGGTTTCTCTCTCTTTAACTCTGCCATTGTAGTGTAAATGTAGCCACAGAAAATGTGCTAATGAATGAGTGTGGCTGTGCTCCAGGAAAACTTCATTTATGAAAACAGGCAACAAGCCAGATTTGGCTCACAGCTGTAGTTTGCCAACCCCTGATTTAGATCAAACAATTTTCTTAACAAATTTAGGTTTCTCTCAAATAAAGTAACTCATGATTGGATGAACCACCTGATGACTGGTTGTAGGGAAAAGAAAAGGTTGATGGAAAAACTCACCAAAATGATTAATTTCAACAAGTGGCGACCTTTCCTTAGCGTTTGCAGTTTGGTTGTTGGAAGGATTTATAGACAGTTAAAATTACCAGCCGATTGCAGTAGAGAATGGAGGCTGGCAAAAGAATCACCCTGCTGGTGGCTGGATCCTTGTGTTCTCTCCTTTATCAGGGGAACGGCCCATCTACTCTCCTTCACTGAGTTCTTTCGGAGGAAGAGTGGGCCCCAAGGTGGAACTTTGGTGCTGGTTCTGGATGTATGCTGACAGTCCCTCCTTGGTCTAGCACACTCACCCATGAGAAACCACATCTGGTTTTGTTTGTTTGAGATGGAGTCTCCCTTTGTCACCCAAGCTAGAGTGCAGTTGAGTGATTTCCACTTACTGTAACCTCTGCCTCGCGGGTTTAAGTGATTCCCCTGCCTCAGCCCCCCAAGTAGCTGGGATTACAGGTGCCTGCCATCACGCTTGGCTAAATTTTGTATTTTTAGTAGAGACAGGGTTATGCCAGTCTAGTCTTGAACTCCTGACCTCCAGCAATCCGGCCTCCCAAAGTGCTGGGATTACAGGTGTGATTCATAGCACCCAGCCCACATCTAGTTTAAGCAGCCAACTGAAGTTATTTGTCCCAGCCTCTTAATGGTGGTATCTAATTTCCCTACAGAGCCCTGAAAGATTTCCTTTAATATCCTGAAGTTGGAGAAATAAACTGGTTTAAGAGCTTATTGAATGAGGTTGTTATTTGTTGTTAATTAAAATCAAGTCATGTGTGTAAAATAACAACTTGAGGCAGACAAGCTGGTTTCAGAATAATTCGAGGATGAATGGCAGCACTCAACATCGCCTGGCTTCTCAGGACAACTTATTCTCTTCTCACATTGCAGAGTCTCACATAAAAACAAAGCAGAGACTGAGATTAAAAAGAAAGAACATATAGAACTGAGGAAATGAAGTACTGCCTGGTGCTGTAAGTGCCATGGCCTAAATTCTCCACCTGAGAGAGGATGAGAGCTTGCACAGCCTCCACCTCCAAGGACAAAAGCCATCTAACCCATTCTCAGGAGCTGTGATACAAGGATGACAAGAGGGTACACTGGTGCTATAGGCAGTGGCCACTGGGAAATGTTTGGCTAGTGGGAAAGGAAACGCTTTGCTTTACAAGGTAATGTGCACCTTTGAGCTTGGGGTGGGTGCGCAAAGTCCCGGGACTTAGTGGAGCTCTGCCATCCCAAAAGCAAGTTTTTGCTTGTTCAGACCTCAGTTAGAAATTATTTTGTAACATTCAAACTATAGTGAAGGGCTGGGCATGGTGGCTCATGCCTGTAATCCCAGAACTTTAGGAGGCCAAGACAGGTAGATCACTTGAGCTCACGAGTTCAAAACCAGCCTGGCCGACATTGCAAAACCCCATCTCTACAAAAAATACAAAAATTAGTTAGGTGTGATGGTGCACACCTGTAGTCCCAGCTACTTCGGAGGCTGAGGTGGGAAGATGGCTTGAGCCCAGGAGGCAGAGGTTGCAGTGAGCTAGGATTGCGCCACTACACTGCAGCCTGGATGATGGAGCCAGAACTTGTCAAATAATAATAATACTGTGAAGGAAGAAAGTGAATTGGCCTTTAGCAGAAAAAAAAAAAAGCTTATTCTAAAAAAACAAATCCTGAGCTTTCTAATAATTTACTTATTTGTATATTTTTTGTAGAGACAAGGTCTCACCAGGCTGGTCTCCAACTCCTCCGCTCAAGCTATGTGCCTGCTTCAGCCTCCAAAAGTGCTGGGATTACAGGCATGAGCCACAGTGCCTAGCCTGAGCTTTCAATTTATAAGACTGGTTTCCAGCTGTTCTTTGTTTCTACAGTGGCAACCAGAAAGGGTTCTTCCCCCAATTAGGTTGTCTATAAACTATTAAAAGTAAAATGGATAAGGCAGGAGCCATGCCTGCTGCGTCCATCAGTGAATTCCCAAGACACAGCACTGTGGTGAGTGTGGAGCAGGTAGTAAAAAAATATGTTGGATGAGTAAATGAGGTAAAGGAATAGGATCTCCTACAGGCAATTTTATTTTTTGTTACCAATTTTCCAATTGTTATCAGTATTATTCATTATAGCCAAAATGGGTCAGAACTGTCCAAAGACAGGGGCATACTGTAGTAAACTATGGATGGAATATGATGGAGCTATCAAAAGTGATGTGGCTGAAGCACATTTAACAATGCAATTTACGACCAGTGACATTAGAGAGAAAGAAATCAATGTATAAAGATGTGTATCCATATGACTTCAAGTAAGTGTAAAGAAAACTTTATGCCTAGAGAAAAAGCCTTAGGAGAAGCAGCGGGCTATGTGTTTGGGAGAGAGGTGTATGGGGAGGCATTTTCTTCTTCTTCTTACTTGATTTTCCACATCTTCAATGAACATTTACTATTTTTATTTAAACAATAATAGACTTAAAGCCAATTCTAAAGATTTCAAAGAACCCAAAAGTTCTCTAAAGGACGTCTAAGGAAAGATGATTTGTTTTGCAGAAAGCTGGGTCCACTGAGACAGAAACTGAAGTCATCAGTTATATAGAGAAGCTTGGAGTTGAGACCCTGGAGGATTCTGTGTTTTGACTAGTTGCTGTGGCATCCTCTGATGAACTCACACACACATGCCTCGGTGAAAAGAAGAACAGGGATGCTGGTTCTTGGCTAAGAAGTGTTCAGAATTTACGGAACACTCAGTTTAGCTGTGAGGCAATACACCCAGACACACCAGTCTTTTGTCTCTTAAAAGTGTGGATGCTTCATCAAAATCTCCTCGCCCACGGCAAAGAAGTTGATTCATCTAAGCATTTTGCCATGTTTTTTCTCTCCATACTGTACGGGATAGCACCTCCTCACCTGCTGATCTTTGCAATTTGCCTGACTTGCCTCAACCTTTTCTTTCACAAGAGACAGCTTTTAAGGCTAACGTCCAGCTGCATTTACTTCTGGCAGTGCCTTTTTGGCTGTTTAAGCTGCCAATGGTAGCACTCAGCTACAATCTGAGGAAGAAAGCATTTGCCTGTTGTGAATCATGAGCTTGGATTCAAGACTACCTTTCCTATAGCAAGTGAGAGGCACAAATTTCTGGTGCTTTCCTCACCCCCTACATTCTAGAATGATCTTTTTCCAGGTAGAGTGTTTATGTATGAGAGAGAATGAGAGAGAGAGAAATTATTTCAGCTTCAGAGGCCTGATCCAGGAAGTGTTATTTAAAAACAATTTAAAAGCATGAAGAGCTATGCTATCACTCTGTATTAAAAGAGAGGACAGGATTTTGTTCAAAGATTATATTCTTGAAGGAAGCCTTAATATTCTGGAAATATGCTAAGAAAGGCATTGAGCATAATTCAATCATGAAAGGGACCACTGAATCAAGAATGAACTTTCTGAAGAGATGTTTGCTGCCAAAGACGTCAAAGCAACTTGATGGTCAAGTAATGGGAGGTCAATCCTAGTTTCTCAAGTTTGGAAAGGTTTCTACAAGGCCATCCATCAGATATCCCAATATATACAGAAATTCTTTTTCCTAACATATTCATATGAATCTGCCTCCAGATTGGAGGCCTTTGTGATGGGTGATGGGCTGTAGGTGGAGCCAAGTACAGGAATGTCCTGGGCAGAGATGGGCAATAGGGAGGAACTCAAACAGTGCTGACTCTACACGTCCCTGGGTCAAGAAGCTGAAGGCTGAGAAAGGAGGTAACAGTGCCCAGGAAACCCGCATGGGACACTCTAGATGCTTTCTGGAGTTGGTTTAGTTAGTTTTGATCCATCAGTGGGGACACATTGACCATCATGTTTGTTTTCCAAATTAACCTATAATTATCCACTGTAACTAGCAAAGGGTTGGACCTGGGGTAATAGACATAGAAACATCTTGGATCTTGACAAGCCTGCACTGTCTTATAGTAATCCGTATTACTGCCCACATTTTATAGTTGCAGTCACTAAGATTCAGAGAAGTTGATAGGAAATGGCATAGTGTGGAGTTGAACACCAGGCTCAGGTGACCCCAGAAATGTGGGGAGGAATGTCAGGGAAAGCTGAGGCCTGCTTAGGGGTGTGGCTGAGTGGGCAAGGCCCAGGGAGGTGCAATAATTGGCATAATGTTTGGTGACTTGAGTGATTCAGAATCCCAAACCTGTTTTTTTTTTGTTTTTTTTGAGACAAAGTCTTGCTCTGTCAGTCAGGCTAGAGTATAGTGACATGATCTTAGCTCACTGCAACCTCTACCTCCTGGGCTCAAGCAATCCTCCTGCCTCAGCCTCCCGAGTAGCTGGGACTACAGGTGTATACCGCCATGCCCAGCTAATTTTTGTATTTTTTGTAGAGATGGGGTTTTACCATGCTGTCCAGGTTGGTCTCAAACTCCTGGGCTCAAGAGATACACAGGCCTCAGCCTTCCAAAGTGCTGGGATTACAGACATGAGCCACTGTGCCCGGCCACGAAACTGTATTTTTAATGAACATCTTGGGTCAGAATCAGAGGCACCTGGAAGGCTCATTAAGACAGAGGCGTGGGCTCCATTCTTAGAGTCTCTGATTGAACAGATCAGGGTGGGGTCTGAAAAATCTGCAGTTCTAACAAGTTCCCAGGTGATGCTCATGCTGCTGGTCCCCAGGACACAATGAAAAACTGCTGCTCCGGGAGTCTTATGATTATCAAAATTTAAAAATCAGGCACTGAAGGAAGAGGTGACAGAAAATCCCTGCTCCCAAAAAACTGTCCTTTTGGGGAGACTTGGATCTCCCTGTCTGATCTCTTTCAAACCAGAGCCTAGACAGTTAGCAGTGTGGAAATTGCCTCTGCCTAGGAGGCAGGAAGAGAAGCAGGGAGCTCCCCCACCACAAATGTGGCCAGCTCTTCAGTGCTTGGTGTGGTGCCCACTTCAGAGACTCCTCCCTCCTCAGCAGCCATCAATCACCTGGGCTCTGCCAAGCTCCTTGCTACACTTCCCTGAGCTGATACCATTATCTGGCCCTTGGTATATGTGTTTCAGGAGCAACACAACATAGCCCATGTAGCCTGCTTGGTGGATTGGGAGCTTCTTCCTCCCTTCTTCGCTTGTGGAACTCATAGTCATTCTTTGGGAACCCATAACCATCATTACTTCTTCAATGAAGCCTTGAAAAGCAGACTTGGTTGACCCTGCCTTTGGATTCTCATTCTGGGCCTCATCTCCATGTTGGAGCTACTGCATTTGCAGGATATACCATTAACAGTTGGGAGGCCTCCCCTCTAGACTGTGAGTTCCAGGAAGATGGAGCTTGTGTGAAATACGTCTCTTTATCTGCAGTGTCTAGGACAGTATCTGACCTGAGAAAATATGTTTCTTAAACCCTGTCAGCACTGACACAGCACCTTATATACAGATTAGACTTAACAGTATTTGGCAGAGGTCCTCAAGGCCTGCGGTAACACAGGAGGAAGATGGGTGTCCAATGAGAATGTGATTGGAAGCAACTAGGAGACACATGTGCCTAACCATCAGGCTAGTGTGACCTGTATGTTTTTACTGCCAAGGTGTCTAAATTGTTATGTATAAATTGCTATGTAAGAGGCATTTCAGAAGTGTCTTATTCTGAGTGGTCTCTTCTGTTCTCACTAGCCTTGTTATAGCAAGTCAGAGAGTTTGAAATTCACTTAATAGTAAACACCATCATCAGCAGGTTGATGTAAGGTAAAGTCATGGTATTGGCTCCCACCTCTTGCCATCTCCCACTGTGGCAGGGTAGAGAGTCACTTTCCTCCTAGAGCCTCCAGGGCCATGGGATCAGAACAAACATGCTTTTCCAAGACATGTGTTCCAATAGGGATTTTAGCCCAATTTCTTTCCTTGGCATTTGGAATTCACTGCATGCAGCCTGGGGGAATGCTGGGGAGACTGGAGGGTGAAGGTCACGTATGCCAACAGCCCGACCACCTGAGCCTCACTGAAATGCCTCAGACCTCAAGCTATTCATGCAGGCTGGGGAAAAATCCATGTGGGCAAAGAACATCCTGATTAAAAATCCAAACGTTTTCATAGTGAGACTTATATGTGTCAAGACCATCTGCTTGTGGAATTAATAAGCCTTAGGTGCTAATTTATTAAATAAAAAGTAGATATCTGGAAGTGAGAACAGAGAACTGAAAACAATCTTTGATGGCACAAGTAAAGGTGAAAACCCTAATTAGAATAGGACTTGGTGCTAGCCTAAGGACTGTAGCTGTTCCTGCTCCCACATCCTACAAATTGAGTACCAGGGTGCAATTTTTTTGAAAACCATTCCTTTCTTTGGAATTTTATATTGTACTGTGCTAAAAGACAACTTGTTTATTTCCTGTTTTGTAGGTAATAGATGCTAATGAAAATATGTTTCAGAATGAGAAACATTAAACATAAATGACAGTGAATTGTCTAAGTCTGCAATTAAAGAGCGGTGGCTACATTTCTCATTTTCCCCCTAAATATTCCCCTTCTCTCTCCCCACTGTTGTCTTCCTCTATCTCTCAGCTAGGACTATTGCAGTAGCCTCTGGATTGAACTCATGTCCTCCAGTATTTCCTCCCTTTGAAGGATCAGTGTAAAAGGCATATCTGCCTATATAACTCCCCATCACCTTCAAGTCAAAGTGCCTTTTAAGACAAAGTCCAGTATGACTCAGCTCCTTACTAGCTCTCCAGCCACAGCCCCAAATACTCCTACCTCTATTCTCACCAACGTGCTGATCATTTCCCTGTAAGCTCCATGCTATTGCATCACTCCATGCCTTTGCCGAGACTTTCTCTGGTGGAAAAAGCCTTTTCAACCTTCTTTCATTTTGTTGACACTTTGATTTATCTTCTAAGTCTTGGCTCTTTGCCACCTGAGAGTCTTTGTTTAACTTTCAGTTTGAATTAAGCATCCCTCTATGTTCCTTCTGTTTAATTCTATCAGTCACTGGATTCTCTTTTTTTTGAAACGAAGGTCTCCTCTGTTGCCAGGATAGAGAGCAGTGGCTGATCTCGGCTCACTGCAACCTCCACCTCCCGGGTTCAAGTGGTTCTCCTACCTCAGCCTCTGGAGTAGCTGGGATTACAGGTGTGTGCCACCACACCCGGCTAATTTTTTTTTTTTTTTTTTTTAAGATGGAGTCTTGCCCTATTGCCAGGCTGGAGTGCAGTGGAGTGATCTCAGCTCACTGCAACCTCCACCTCCTGGGTTCGAGCGATTCTCCTGCCTCAGCCTCCTCAGTAGCTGGGACTACAGGTGTGGGCCACCACGCTCAGCTAATTTTTGTGTTTTTAGTAGAGACACGGTTTCACCACGTTGGCCAGGATGGTCTCAACCTCTTGACCTCATGATCCACCTCCTCAGCCGCCCAAAGTGCTGGGATTACAGGCGTGAGCCACTGTGCTTCCCCTAGACTCTTTAACAATGCTCGGTCTCGTTTTCAGTGTAATCCCTCTGAGGTCAAGAGCAGTGCCTGATTTATCTTTGTGCCCATAAGCCCCAAGTAGGAACCGACTGCTGTTGAGTCTAGCCGGACGAAGGAAAAGGAAATGCGCTTCTTAAATGTTTACCAGAGTAGAAAACAATACAGATTATATATAAAGAACCAAGTTCTGATGACACGTTCACTTATTAAAGCTGTGTGGTTATAGAAGTTAAATCGGCACTGAAGCTTACATTAATGAAGTAATAAAAACTCACAGTTGGTCTGATGCTCCTCTCAGAAACGCCACACTCCACCTCAGCTGCCGCCAAACACCTGGGCTCCTCCGAGCTCCCCGCTCACCTCCCCAGCCGGCACCATCCATTTGGCTCTCAGTAGACACCTGCGTTGGTTGTCAGGCGCAACACAAAGCCGCCCATATGGCCCTTGTGCGTGATTTTAAAGTTCTAGCAGACTATTTTCAACTTGAAGGTGTCTTACTAGGTTTGTTTCATTTACTAAAATTAAAAGCAAAGATTTGTCCCTGCCAAATAAGAAACCGAAAGAACACAGAAACCCAAGGGGAAAATTGCAAGAAAGAAATTAACAATAAAGTACTGGTGTCCTAGCTTAAAGGTTGGTAAGCTGCTGCTGCCTTTTTTTTTTTTTTTTTTTGTAAGACGGAGTCTCCTTTGTTCCCCAGGCTGGAAAGGCTGGAGTCCAGTGCCATGATCATGGTTCACTGCAGCCTCTACCTCCTGGGCTCAAGTGATCCTCCCACCTCAGCCTTTTGAGTAGCTGGGACCACATGGGTGTGCCACCATGCAGATAATTTGTAAATTGTTGTTGGTACACACAGGATCTCCCATGTTGCCCTGGTCTTGAACTCCTGGGCTCCAGCGATCATCTAGCCTTGGCTTCCCAAAGTGCTGGGATTACAGGCATGAGCCACTCTCCATGGCCAGGAAGCATCTTCCTAAAGGGCTAGATAGTAAATATTTTCAGTTTTGAGGACCATGGTCTTTCTGACAGCTACTCATTTCTGCCATGATAGCATAGAAGTGGCCATAGGCAATACATAAATCAGTGTGGCTGTGTTGCAATAAATCTTTATTTACAAAAAAACTGGGCAATGAGCTAGATTTTCCCAGAGGGCCAAGATTTACACATGGCTTAATGGATTGAAAATGTGTAAATGTGTTGGTTTTTTTTTTTTTTTTCAAGAAAAGCAACCAATTTGAGAAAATAATGTTTAATCAAATAAAAATTATTCATCATGGAGGATCAATGGCAAAAAAAAATTGTGTTTGAACTTAACCTCACTATAAGTAGGTTTTGCAAGAACCACAGGTCTGTATTCTGTTCATACTTTCATCTGTCACACTATTCACACCATCTTTCAATAAGCGTATATTTCTGTCTCCTCCAGTGAACTATGAGGAAAGCTTTAACCCTATTTATCCCAGTTTCTCCAGTGCCCATCACAGTGCTTGACACATAAAATGCAGTCAATATCTTATTTGTTAACCACTAAATTCAAGAGGAATAACTGGGCCAATTTCTAACTGCCAGTCATTTGGTCTCAGATATCTGGTCCCAACATTGTAGTTGATAAATAATGCATCCACTACATAGTTTTCCAACCAGCTGTGCTGTGGCTTATGTTCCTGGCAACAAGCCCATTTTTACAACCCTTCAGAATATTTCTGGAATCCCTTCCACCTGCTTTAACACTGTCTTGACACATAATGTGGGCCTTTGCTGGAGAAAGATTCCCTTGTCTTAAAATTCTTTTCTGCCATCTCTAAGAGAAACTTCACCCACAAGCCCTGGCTCTCTGGACACACACATATCCCACCCTCACACCATCCAAGGAAAAGTGGGAAGGAGAGTTCAGCAAATGAAGCAGAACTCAAAACAGCAAACTTCATGACTTGCCCTCAGAGCCACTGACCTTCAGAGATCTGACAACACATCAGCAAGACCCTGGAATTTTGAATTAGAAATTAATTACCTCAATGGGGGTAATGAAGACCTCCCTGTGTAAGGTTGCCAGATTTAGCAAATAAAAAGAAGAGGCTCAGAGTTGAATTTCAAATAAATATCACATGGGACATAATTATACTAAAGAAGCATAACTTTTTTTTTTAATCTGAAATCCGAGTTTAACTGGTCCTCTCCTATTTTATCGAGTAATCCTGATCTTGCAGGGTAGCCGGAGTTTAAAGAAACAGCTCTAAGACACCTGATGTCAAGGACAAGAAATATGCAGAAAACACCATTTGCAGTCAAGGAAAGAGAAGCAGAGAAGCTGGACCACTTTAGAACAGAAAAATCATCCCACCTGAGCCTGAAGCTCATTACTACCTTCCCTCTTGTTGCTATATGGGAACCTGTGTCTATTTATCTACCTATCTACCTTATTGTTTATGTATCATCTATTTACAGATGGAGACATCTAATATTTTGGAGTAGGGCCCTAAAGTGAAGCCATCAACATTTCAGTTCCTGGCCTCTGATCAACTGTGTGATTAGGGACAAATGTGAACCTCTCAACCTCAGTTCTCTGTGTACAAAATAGGGGAATAATAAATGGTAACTAAATCCGTAGGTTGATTTGCACTGAGACTGGTGCATGTTATAAGCATAATCAGTATTTACTATCATTATTATTATCATTGCATTTCTCTGTATTGTGACAAAATACTGTTACTGGTGCCTTGGCTTCCTCATGCACATCTGAATGCCACGTCATTCTTCTGTGCCCAGAATAGTGCCTGGTACAGAGAGAGTAGCCAGTAGTCCCTTGCTGAATAACTAAAACCCTCTCCAGGAACTTATCCTATTTCATTCCTCCAGATGGCTGTGCCCTGGGCCTGGCCATCACTCAGAACTTCTCCCCCTTCAGCATTTGAACCTCAGACATCCCATTCTCCAATTTCTCCATTTCCTCTGGCCTACCTAGTTGTCCTAGAATGTTCTCTAGTTGAACTTCAGAGTCTAATTCTTTACTCTATCCTGTCCTTTCTCTAAGTACTTATTTCTAGGTGTATGAAATCCACTAGCTTTCGAGTTTGAGTTCTAAATTCTAGTCCTGACTTTTTGTTTGTTTGTTTTTGTTTGTTTGAGACAGAATCTCATTCTGTCACCCAGGCTAGAGTGCAGTGGGGTGATCTCGGCTCACTACAACCTCTGCCTCCTGGGTTCAAGTGATTCTCCTGCCTCAGCCTCCCAAATAGCTGGGATCACAGGTTCCTACCACCACGCCCAGCTAATTTAGTATTTTTAGTAGAGATGGGGTTTCACCATGTTGGCCAGGCTTGTCTCAAACTCCTGACCTCATGTGATCTGCCCACCTCGGCCTCCCAAAGTGCTGAGATTACAGGTGTGAGCCACTGTGTCCAGCTCTGCCTTTCTAATTCCATGTTACTTTGGGCTTCTTATATCACCTCTTTGCTTCCATTTCTTAAATGAAAAAAGAATAAAAACCTGTGTCCTCCCCTTATTCGTGTGAAGAGCACCTTGAAAACTAGAAAAACAAATTGTTAAAGCCGTAAGACATATCTATTTCCTGGTATAGTTTGTGTTATTCATAACAATTAATAAGGACATGTGGCAAAAGCCAGTTTACAGAGAATGGGATATCACATGTAATCACATCTATATTTAAGTAGCTCAGCCTTCCAATTTCCAGACTTTCAGATCTATCAGAACGTTGACCTTTTCTAAAAAAAGCTTTCTATGTGATCTATATCATTAGAGCCCTGCTAATCTACCACAGCCCATAACTGTTGGTGATAAAGAATAGTGGCCAATTTTGTTTAAAGTCTGAGCTCTGTTCAGTATTGTATTTTACAGTCAAGTTGCAGAATTGGAGCATTTAATCTGTATGACCCATTTAGCACAAGAGGAAAAGGGGCCTCTTTGGAGAATGGGCAGCTTGACTTGTATTTAGTAATCACACTCCAGTAGGGGACCTGGGGAAATCACAGGAAATGATGCCAGATATTCTCCTCCCTCTAGGTCTGAGATGGGAGGCACATGGGCCTGGTGCCCCGGAGTACAGTGAGGAGTCTCACCCAGATGCCAATGCTGAGGTGCTCTGTATAGTGAGGTGCTATATTACTATAAGGGAGCTGAGGTGCTCCCTTATAGTAATAAGGGAGAAGATACCAACAAGAATGATTTAAATACAAGGGACAAAGGGATGACTGACATGAATGGGTACTGACCCCATGCCCTGGAAGTCACAAAAATGCAATGTCAATTCCGGATGGGGAAGCCGAGGGAGGCTTTGTGCAAAACCTGGCATCTGAATGGGATCCCTACTAAATTTGAATGAGTTGATTGTATTATTGAAATTATTGGATATTAAAATTTATATTAAGAAATGATAATGTTTAAATAAAAGGTGATAATGGATGTGCCAGCTGAGTTCCACTCATTTTGGTGATGAGAAGCATCCACAGCCTATCATCTGTGGTTCTGGTAAAGTCCCTTGAGAAAAAGAACAATAATGAATGATAAAACCATCACTGTTTGGAGAGCCATGCATTTAGAGCTTTACAAACTTTCTCCTCCCTAATAAGTAACAACCTTACAATGCAACCCAGACAGCCAAACTCCAGGATCCACATTCTTAGTCTCTGTATTAGGCTGCCTTTGCAAGGCTTCAGTGTCTGGCGTTTTGTAATGGAAAAATCTGGGGTATGTCCACAGATTGACTATTGATTTTAGAGGCTTGCCTTTCAAATCACTGTGGTTAGACACATAATGTTTTAGTCAGAACATTCTGCTAATTGTAACAACATGAAAATAACAGTCACTTCTTTATCACTGTTAATGGAGGGGAACAGTAGCATCGATATTCCAATATGGTGAACAAAAATCACCTGTTGGTTGCTTACATTACATTAGATTACTTTAAAAACTGCATAACATGTTTGTTGCTAATTATGTGTGATTTACATACTTTCTATAGCTCAACATTCTTTGAGCGTATTTGCAATAGGGGAAGGTGGTGGATGAGACTGGGAAAAGGTTAATCAGGATTTAATATTGCTTCCTGGATATAAACAACCACAATTTTGGTGGTGGGAATAACATAATCATTCTCTTTCAATATCAAAATATGTGCACCTCCCACCTCACAGAATAGAAGAATTCAGAGCTTACCTGAGAAATGAAGCTTATCATCCATGTCTTCTGCCCCCATGGCGAGGTGTTTGTACATAGCATGTGTGGGCTCTCTAGAAAGTAGATACACTGAGAGAATCCACATATCTGGCAGAACAGAATTTCCTTTCACACAGTTAAATCACAATGGAATTACACACACAAAAAAAGAGAGTAGGAGTAAGCACTTGGAAAGGTTAAATGAGCAAAGCAAATTTTCCTAGTGCTCTTCCTTCAGAAAAGGATCTCTAGGAGCAATATATTCATTCCACTGGAGTGTATTACTTGGGCTAAGGGCCTAGGAAAGTCCCCTTGGCTGGCTAAGCATACAAAATCTGTTGCTTATGCCAACGTAGTATCTCTTCTCTTCTCTTTGGAAAACAGCATCTTAATTTTCCTTTATCTTTCCCCTATGAGTACACACAGTCTGATCAAGGTAATCTGGCTGTGGAACTCAAATGGAACTGATTAGACACTTCCCAGGAATCTGAATATTGAGCACAATGACATCAAAATTGGAAAAGAAGCTGATTCATCCCCACAACAGCACCCCAAAAAGACTCTCCAAAGTTCCCATTGCCTGGATCCAGAGTGGCCTGTTTTGTTTGTTTGTTTGTTTGTTTGTTTAGACAGAGTCTCCCTCTATCACCCACGCTGGAGTGTAGTGGTGTAATCTTGGCTCACTGCAACCTCTGCCTCCGGGTTCAAGCAATTCTCCTGCCTCAGCCTCCGAAGTAGCTGGGACTACGCACCACCACACCTGGCTAATTTTTGTATTTTTAATAGAAACAGGGTTTCACCATGTTGGCCAGGATGATCTCCATCTCTTGACCTTGTGATCTGCCTACCTTGGTCTCCCAAAGTGCTGGGATTACAGGCATGAGTTACTGGACTTGAAGCCAGGCCTTTTAACGCTTTTCACCTCATCACAAAAGTAGTGACACAGTCTTCCCTGCTTGGTTTACTATGGCACACAGGTAGGCAACTGATGTAAAATGCTACTTCAAAGACCCCTTCAATCAATTAATCAATGAGTATTTATTGCAAGGCACTGTGCTAGGCACTATGGAGAGTACATGGAAGATAAGACCAAAGTCCCTGCCCTCAAGGAGCTTACAATCTAGTTGGGAAGACAAGGCATACATACAAGGAAAAGTAAGTAACAATACAGGAGTTAAATTAAAATGCAAGATAACAGTACACGGTATTTCCAAAAGTAGTATCTGATTAATTACTAAATGAGTGGCATTGCTAGGGGTTGCAGGTAATTCAGAGGAAGAATGTCATAAAGGACTGAAGCATGAGAAGGTTTTGCAGACAAACTGGGGCTGGAGCTACCCTAGGACAGCTGGGATTTGGATGGGAGAGAAGGATGGAGAGGGCATTTGAGGAAGGAGCAGCCATAAGACCAAAGGCACAGAGGTGAGACCAAAAGCAAGCAGTCTTCAGGGGTCAGGGATGGCTCAGAGTGACTGGATACACAGTTAAATTGTTTTGGATTAAAAAGGGCCTTAAAGACTGGGTGCAGTGACTCACACCTGTAATCCCAGCACTTTGGGAGGCCGAGGTGGGCGGATCACCTGAGGTCAGGAGTTCAAGATCAGCCTGACTAACATGGTGAAACCTCGTCTCTACTAAACATACAAAAATTAGCCGGGCATAGTGGCAGGTGCCCGTAATCCCAGCTATTTAGGAGGCTGAGGCAGGAGAATCACTTGAACCTGGGAGGCAGAGGTTGCAGTGAGCCGAGATCACACCATTGCACTCTCCAGCCTGGGTGTCAGAGTGAGACTCTGTCTCCAAAAAAAAAAAAAAAAAAAAAGTTGGGGGGGGGCTTAAATGCTCAAGTTTAGAAAGTTTAGAACATATCCTTTTGGCAATGGGAGTGAGGAAAACAACAGATATACTTAAATATACAAAAGACTTAGCTAATCAAGAGAAAATATTCATCTTTAGGACATTTACTTGTGAATTAGGACCCTCTTTACTTCCAAAGAGGATTTGAAATGGTGTCTTCAGGGTTGTCAATTCCAAAGGAATAGCTCTGGGTCATCTAGATTTGGGTAGAGACTTTTGAGTCCCTCGATAATCCCAAATTATAACTAGCACAAGGGTAAGCTAACAAATTCCCTGACAGGCAGGCAGGAAAAATGCTCCCAAAAGACAAGTATCTTTACAAATGAGAGAATATTTATTAACAATACCTTTAAAAAAAGTTTACATATGCTATATCACTGGTAAATATCATTTACACTGGGGTTGGGAACTCCCTGGGGTGTCATCTTTTTTTCATTCATTTTATTATTTTGTTGATTTTTTTTGCATGTGATTTTAAATTTCATTTTATTTTAACATAGAAGTAATCATATTAAATTAAGAAAGGAACACAGCTTGAAATACTGACAATATTTTTTTTCCAGTTACCACGCTAATTTTTACACAAATGGAATCCTGATTATGATTTTATTGGATAAATATAACTAGAAGTTTGAAAAACTAAGTTATATTATTTGTAAGCAAAAATGACAAATTACAGCAAATCTGAGTTCTCTGAGAAAGAAGAAATTGTGGCAGCGTGTTTACATGTGAAAATGTTTATAGAAAATTTCATTGCCTTTTATGTCACTGTTCCACTAGCATTGGCTTACAAAACCTTTCCCATTATAACAAATAGTTCATTTCATAAGAATACAGTTTTGTTGATATTGTCATTTTCCAATGTGTGATTTTAAGACTTAGAAGGTAAAGCGTATAAAGCAACTAGGCTACCTATTGCAAAACAGAATCATCAAGAAACCATACAATTGTACTAAAGATCTTTTATAGAGTCATATTAAAAATTCTTGCAGCAACTATTTGTTGAAATAGGTGAAATCTTCCAAACTCCATATGTAATTTTGATTCAAAAGGAGGGCTCTATTATTACAGAGATACACATAATATATATAAGAAATTTTTAAAGAAATTAGGAATCCATTGACAGAGAATTACTTTTTTAAAATTTACATTCAAAATAGATACAGTTAAAGATAATAAAATTATCTTTTATCCTTTGAAAGACTTGGTTAACTATAGTAACTTTTGGTCTATGTTACTACAGGATATTTTACTTTAAATTTAATGTCTAAGATAATGCTACTACAAAGACAATGCTAACTTAGTTGAGTGTAAAGAAAATCTTACTGTACAATGCTAAATTCAGGGATGGGAATATTGCACAAGGTGCCTCTTGGGCAGTAAATTTAGCTTTTGAGATTGCAGCCATTCCTGAAACCATCTCAAGTTGTGTTGAACAACAAAATTCACAACGGCATGAGAAAACATATAGTATATGTCAAAAGGACTTGATTCAATGCATTAACCACTTGAAGAGTAATTTGCATACAGCAGCCTTGAGTTATAGACCAAGTCTTCAGCTGTTCTGCCACGAGATCCTTGTAAAACTGTACGAGTAATTTGCAGTTTGTTTACTAAGATGAATTTCAAACTCTGTCTTTAAAGGAAATATTTTCAAATCATAATTGCATGATTCTGTTGCCCATAGCATTTTACAGCTGAGGAAAAAATTAATATCTACATTATATGTTAACTTTAAAAAATTCTATAAAACACTAAATATATAATAAAAAATATGCATATAAGGACATATGTAAACTGCTTTGGTAACATCATATTACAGATGTCTTCAGTGCATTGCAGAGTTTCCAAAGAAACTTCAGACAAAGCTAGATTTGCTTTGAGGAAGTACTGTATAATGCCATTCCTAAAGAAGCAAAAAACATTTTTATTCCAGTAATAAGATGTACTTGAACAACAATATTACTTAGTACTGGGTGTCTTCAAAACAACTAGCTAAATGTTGCTTATAGTATAAACAGTAAGTCCTTGAGATAACTTTTGTCATAAACTGGACCTAGCTGTGAGGGAAATCATTATTGTACTGATGGCTGACAGCGTGCATGCATTTGAAGTGGAAGCCCCGGATCCTCGTGCGTAGGCATCTGTAAAGAAAGAACAAATTCACTCAGAACAGCCCCATCCTGGCTTCGAAGGAAAGAGGGGCCACAGGGCTTTTTGAAACAGCAGAACTGCATTGATTTTACTAGAAATGATGATTTCTTAACGGCTTTTAAATATCAGTTCTATGACTGCCTAGCTATGAACCTGGGAGTAGGGTATAGGACAGCCCTGTACCTCTGTCAAAGCATTTGTAAAATGTGGATGTTCCATCTAATGTGAGAATAAACTTCAATATTACTAGTAACAATACTGATAAACACCATGCTATGTCAATGATGCAACAAAATGAAAATTGCTACTCACTTTTAAACTCTATCTTTGTGCCTGGGCACAGATGAATATGACACTTAAATCTTGCAAAAACTGGATGAAGGCCAGGTATTGTTATTACTTCACTTAATAGATGCAATAATTTGGGCCGAGAGAAATAAAATAACTTGTCTAAGATCACCCAGCTAGTAAATGGTTACATTGGGGTTCAAACCCATGCCTGTCTAAATCTACCCCTTTTCTCCAAACAAAATAGCCTCAGTCCTTTTTACATTTTCTTATGGGCCTTACATTTTTCATAGTCAGAAGCTATCAACTGTCATTTGGGAGTTCTTCAATCTTGTAAGGTTGCTTTGATCAACATGATGAAAAATCTCTTGAAACAGATCATGTTTGGCTCACAGTCGTGTCCTTGTCATCTAATAACTACACCAATATAATTGCTTAATATATGTTTTTGTAATGAATAAAACCAGGAATCATCAGTCTACCTAAAAATACCAATCTCTGCAATGATAAGCAAGTATGAAGTATAAAGTGGGATTTTTAATGAAGTGAGATAAATTAACCCCAGTCTTGTATTTTGATGGCTTGGAGGTTACTTCCACATCTCACCAAAAATCTGGCTCCCTTTTGACAGAAGTTAGAGGCTTTGTTTGGTGAAGTGTAGAATCCAACTGTCCCCAGTTTTGAGACAAAAATACCTTTTGTGTTTGTATGCAAAAAACACACAGTAAATATGAACCCCATCCAGAAACACTGGCATATCACCCTTTAACAGAGGGACATCACATGGATAAAAGACAGGACGGTGGTGAGGATTTTGTCCATAATTTAAAATATCACCTCTTTACTGATGTCTTGAAAATTTATTATCTCCAGCCTTCACTGTTTCCCTAATTTCCAAACTGCTAAATCTGAAAGCCTGTGAAAATCTACACTTAGATACCTAACAATCATTTTTTTGTTGCTACAAAATACACATAACACAATTACCATTTTAACTCATTTAAAATGTACAATTCAGTGGTACTAAGTATACTCCAATGTTGTGCAACCGGTACCACTATCAAGCTCTGTAACTTTCTTGTCATCCCAAATGAAGAGCCAGTACCATTAAACCCCTATTTCCCACTGACCAGCCACTGTCAATCACTGACCTCACTTCTGTCTCCGTGGATTTGTTTTTTTCTTTAAATAAATGAGATCACACAAAACAGCAAAAAGTAATATGCTGCTATTTACAAACATGATATTTGTAAAAACAGAATTGAATGTTTGCTCAAAAAAAATACTATTCTCACATGCTATTCAACAATATTTGAAAGTGAAAATAATCTTGACTATAGAGAGACATATACATTGATGCACATAAGTTACATATACCCATTCAAAATAAATAATGAATCCAAAATATTTCCAAGACATTGAACTGTATACACTGTTTCACAGGAGAAAAACTGCTACAGCATACTTAACAATGCTTTTGCTTGTTCCTTCTAACTGAGTCATGCTTTTAACTTTCTAAATTGTAACTGCACAGATGCACTGCAAACTACAAAGGTTGACAAGGAAAATCTTAGTGACTGATTCGGGGCTGCTTTAACCTGATTTTTGATTAGCAACTGAGTAGATTGGTGGGGGCAAACTGATTTTTGCATGAAACTGCCTGTGGCCAGCAAACATCTGGAGAAGGGGGCTTAGTGTCCTCCATTTTTAAGTCTTCTTTTGCAGGCTGAATGTCTTTCAACCCCTGACTCATCTGGAAGGTTGATAAGATAAGACAGGCAGGAGAAAAGGGAGAAAAAAAAGGCATTCTCACTTGATATCTTTGGAATTCGAATTTGTTCACTGCTGCTGCCATCTCCTCCATCACTGAATGGCTTAATTTCTATTATATAATCTTCATCAAAAGGCAAAGAAAGCTCCACCGATGTTTTATTTGTTTCAATGACAGATGTGCTGCTTTGTCTGTTCCATCTGTACAAGACCTGCCAATACAGAAAGAACAGGTGTCACCTGCTGTCTTCACAAAGACCCCAAAGATGGAGCATTCATTTTTTTCCCCTCTGGGCACCACCAGCAAAATGCAGGGATGTAGAGATTGTCCGGCTGCCCATTTGCATTTGGAAGGCTCATTTGAGGTGATGGCCATGACTGTAGCTACCTTTTTATTCCAAGGAAAAAGGTGAAAAGACATTACAACAGGGGTGTCAGCAACATGATTCTGCCTACTGCCTAGCCTCTCAGAGGCTCAGTTGACACAGCTGGGAAAATGTGAGTAGTTCCTGAAGGATGTACACTGCTCAGTTACACGTCAAGGGCTTTGGCATCAGAATAAACTTGGCCACTGTGTGATCACAGGTCACTTCACCTTTCTGAGCCTCACTTCAGTCAACTGTAAAATAGGGACAATAATACCCACTCTTCTGGAGTGTTTTCAAGATTGCACAAGCAGGCTGGGTGCGGTGGTCACGACTGAAATCCCAGCACTTTGGGAGGCTGAGGTGGGTGGATCACTTGAGGCCAGGAGTTAGAGACCAGCCTGGCCAACATGGCGAGACCCTGTCTCTGCAAAAAATACAAAAATTAGTCGAGCGTGGTGGCACACACCTGTAATCCCAGCCACTCCAGCAGCCGAGGTAGGAGAATCGCTTGCACCCAGGAGGCAGAGGTTGCAGTGAGCCAAGCTCATGCCACTGCACTTTAGTCTGGGTAACAGAGTGAGACTCCATCTCAAAAAAAAAAAAAAATTAAAAAATTAAAAAAAAAAGATTGCACAAAGATTGAATCTGGTGAGGGCCTAGCTTAGAGGAAGCATGTAAGAAATCATATGTCTGAGGCTTGAAGAGAATCAGAGAACATACATGGCAAACAAAGGTTAGAGCACAAGACAGGCACAATAAGTTATGATCATGACTCTTTTAGAGACAGGACATATCAGCACAGGGAGAAAATATCTGAAAGGCAAGGGTAGTAACCCCTCCCCGATTCCTTCCCTTTGAAACCCCATTTTGTGGGGCTAGGTAGCAAAGAGGTAATCACTGTTACCCTGGACACATCTGTAGCTGGCAATAGTCCCCGTCATGCATCTTTGTTTTCATTTTGGTCCCTTCATGGGTTCTGAGTTTGGGTGGGATTCATTTGATGAGATGGCCAACTAGCTCTCCTAAAAACACATTCACCTGCCTGGGATTGCCTGTTCTGATTGGCATGGACTCCAATTAGGAACAAAATATACAGAGCTGGGAAAGTGTGCCTTTACCTATATATAGAACCACTAAAGCTCATCCTCTGCAGTCTCCCTTGACAATTAAAAAGATAGGGTTGGATGAGGTCAGTGGTTCTCAGTCCTGGCTGCATGTTAGAACCACTGGGGTGCTTGTAAAATACTTATGCTCTAGCCCAGTGGTTCTCAACGGGGTGGGACGGGCAGGGGAGCAATTCTGCCTTACAGGGAAGTATCTGACAATGTCTGCAGACGTGTTTGTCAAAACATGTCCTACTGGTATAGTGGGTAGAGAGACCAGGGATGCTGCTGAACATTCCACAGTGCATAGGGCAGTCATGCAACAAAGAATTCTCCAGCTCAAAGTGTTGATTGTGAGGAGGTCAGAAACCCCACTCCAGTTCCATTCTAGCCTGCCTAAGACTACAAAGAGGTGGGATCCAAGCTGTATTTTTTTTTTTAAAGATCATCAGGTGATGTTAATATGGCACAGGCCTTATGGGTTAGATGAATTACATGAGTTCTCAAATTCAAGCGTGATCAGAATCACCTGGAGAGCTTGTTAGACCACAGATTGCTGGGCCCCATTCCTGGAGTTTGTGATTACTTCTGGGATGGGACCTGAAATTTTGCATTTCCAACAAGTTCCCAGCTAATGCCAGTACTGCTGGTCCAAGGACCACGCACTGAGAAGCACAAGATTAGCTCATCCTTCCCTAAGATCCCTTATAAATTCCGATCTGCTGAGGTTAGAGACATAAGGTCACTCTCTGTCTCAAGACAAAACCAGACACAGTGAAATTCATAAAATTCCCTTAGAATGGTTTAGAGCCCATTTGTTTCCTGGCATTTCATCACCTTAATTTATGTCTCTCTGATACAAGGTGGAAAACACAATTTCCTTAAGGTAGAATGATTCATAAGTGTCCCCTCTTCTCCACAGCATCAGTTGTATCAGACTCAGCATCCCCTTGCTAATGATTAGGCACAAATAAATCCTCAGGCACATTCAGGAGTGTCAAAGCTTCTCATCACAACCCTCCAGGAGAATGGGCTGGCTGATGGGATGCAAGGTCACATCTGGCTTTGAGAAATAATTGCTGCTTTGATTTACCTCTGGTCCTTGCAAGAGCTCAGAGGATTCAACTTGTTTCAAATATAAATCCAAAAGAAACACTTCCAGGAAAAAGCAGCTCTCTTATCAGCACTGCTTCTCAGTCTTATAATATTAGGGACTGCAGCAGAACCTAAATAAAGTCCTATAAAACCTTTATTTACACCAAACACTTGATTGAGCTGATTGACTTGAAGGCTGTGCTGGCATTTGATGTAATCTAGCGTGGAAGACAGGGGAAAAAATGGATTTGTGGGAATAATGATAATAGCAGCAAATATCATTGACTACTTCCATTATTGAATGTCTGAACCCCATATGTTCTAAATCAAGGGTGTCCAATCTTTGGGCTTTCCTGGGCCACATTGGAAGAAGAATTGTCTTGGGCCACACATAAAATACACTAATGATAATGATAGCTGATGAGCTAAAAAAAAAAAATCACAAAAAAAGCTCATTATGTTTTAAGAAAGTGTATGAATTTGTGTTGGGCCATGTTCAAAGCCATTCTGGGCCACGTGCAGCCTGTGGGCTGTGGGTTGGACAAGCTTGTTCTAAATGCTTACATGGATTATCTCTTATTCTGATTTCAAAGATGAGAACCTGAGACCTGGAGTTGTTAAGCAATTGCCCCAGGTCCCATGACTAGTAAGTGGCGGACCCTGCATTCAAACCTAGGCAGTCTGGCTGCAAAGCCTGGATTTTTTTTTAATTTTTGAGATGGAGTTTCACTCTCATTGCCCCGGCTGGAGTGCGATGGCATGACCTCGGCTTACTACAAGCTCCACCTCCTGGGTTCAAGCGATTCTCCTACTTTAGTCTCCTGAGTAGCTGGGATTACAGGCGTGCGCCACCATCTTGGCTAATTTTGTACTTTTAGTAGAAATGAAATTTCACCATGTTGGTCAGTCTGGTCTTGAACTTCTGACCTCAGGTGATCCGCCTACCTCGGCCTCCCAAAGTGCTGAGATTACAGACGTGAGCCACAGTGCCTGGCCACAGAGTATGGATTTTTAACTAAGACTAGCTTGGCTACCACCTGTAGGGCTCTGGACAAATTGCTTTCCCTCTCTGGTCTCTGTCTTCAGGAATGCAAACCAAGGGAATTAGACAGTAAAACACTAGTGGCCCATGAGTTATAACCAGTCTGCATATATTATTTGTTTGGCCATAGTAATGTGATTTTTTTGAGTTAGATGTGAACATTTAAAAACCAAGAAACCATACATTAAAAACTTGTTGGTGCTACTGAAAAACTGGAAGATATGGCCACACTGGTTGCTATGCTTTCCATGCTTGTCCCTCCAAAATCCATGTTGAAATTTGCCATTTTAAAAGTATTAAGAGGTGAACATTTAAGAGATTATTAGGCCATGAGGTGATGAGGCTCCATCCTCACAAAATTAGTACTGTTATAAAAGGATGAGTCAGCTCTCTTCTCCCTCCCTTTCCCTCCTTCTCCCTCCCAGCACTGTGAGTCAATAAACTTGTATTCATATTAATTGCCCAGTCTTAGGTATTCTGTTCCTGAGTAAGACTCTACAAAAGTGGGGTCCAGAGTAAAAAAGGCTAAGACAGCAGTCTGCATTCCTGTCTGGAAACAACTGGCTGGAGTTGAGAAGTCTCATTCTGTACCATTGTTGGTAATAGTCTCCAACACTTCCAATTTTGCTACATTGTCACATGCCTACCTTGGGACCTTTGCACCTCTGTTTTTGCAGTACTTGGGACATTCTCGGAGAGCTGCCAAGGCCCAGCTGAAATCTCACCACTTGAAAGTGGCTTTCCTTGGCCTTTATATAAAAAAATAAATTTCTCCATGGTTTTCTCTATTTCCCCTCACTCTGGCTTATTTTTCCTCTGTAGTACTTTGCTATCAATTACTATATTTATTTATTGCTAGCAGGCAGAAGAACCAAATGGCTAAATGTAGAAAGTTGGATCCATACTGCTGTATTCTGATCCTGGGTCTTCAACATACCAGCTGTGGGAAACACAAGTTACTAAACTTTGTACCATAGCTGTTCATCTGCAAAACTATGGCTAATAACTGGACCTACTTCATGAGTTATTATAAAGTCAAGAAGAAGCAGGGTGTGGTGACTCACGCCTGTAATCCCAGCACTTTGGGAGGCTGAGGTGGATGGATCACCTGAGTTCAGGAGTTCAAGACCAGCCTGGACAATTTGGTGAAACCCTGTCTCTACTAAAAATACAAAAATTAGCCAGGGATGGTGGTGGACACCTGTAGTCCCAGCTACTTGGGAGGCTGAGGCAGAAGAATCGCTTGAACACGGGAGGTGGAGGTTGCAGTGAGCCAAGATCACACCACTGCACTCCACCCTGGGCAACAGAGGGACACTCTGTCTCAAAATTAAATAAATGAAATAAAAATAAAATTAAAAAATAAAGTTAAAATGAATTGGAACACTGATTTGTATGTGTATTAGTGTGTAGTTTCTGAATGTACTGAGTCAACATAACTCATTTATGTTATCTGCCTGACTCTGTAGGTAGTTTAATTTGTGATACTCTCCTTTTAGCTCTAATGTCATAAAGTAGCTTAAAGATTTGTGTTGACAAAATATTCAGGGCCTCAAACTTTCTAAAGTCAGCTTCTTATTTAGACTATCTACGTAAGCTGAGAT